TTTTATAGTAACAGAAACACTGGAGTAACCTAAATGATCATTTAACATTTAACAGACTGTGATATATTCACAACATGGTATATTCAGCATCTTCAAAAATGGCATGATGTAAAGTTACAGTACAGATTTGTCATGATGCTCATGATAGGGTTCTTTAACATTCTTTTAACAAACATTTACTGAGCCATCTAATACTTTCCAGATGCTGTTCTATGCCCTATGGATACAGTGATGAGTCAAAATCTTTGTCCTCATGCAGCTAAAATTCTAGTGGGTGAAACAAATGCTTAGTGTACCACAAACACAGATGTGACATCATGTCGAGGAATACTACATGCTGGGAAGAAAAATACATGGTGATAGGAGGCTCCACTTTGCATAGAATGGCCAGAGAAGGGTTGTCTGAAGAGATGGTATTTGGAGAGACACCTTACTGAAGTGACAGAGAGGACCACGAGAGCATTTGGGACTATTGTGTGCAAAGGGCCTGAGGTTGAGTATGCTTGGTGAGCCCTGGGGAAAATCACATTGATGAACAAAGCATGTTCTAGCACATGTAGCCAGTGATCTGTTTGTTCTTTTCAAATCTGTGTCTGTCCATGTATGTTTGTATATGCAAAGTAAATCATGTGAAATTGTATGTGAGAGTGACATCAGAGGGACAGTTGGGAGGGAAGGTTTTTTTTTAACTTAAAAAAAAAATGATATTAGGAGTGGTGGGTGAGCCTCTATGTGGGCTCCTTGACTAATGGTTGGTTTCCAGACCGCAGGAAGCCGCCACCCTCCCCACCATTTATTTCTCTCCCCAGGTGACGCTGAAGACAGGAAGGGCCCAGGTCAGAAGACAGGTGGGTTCTGCTGACTTTCTCTTCTAGTTTTGAACAGGGGCCCTTCGACCCCATTCCTTCCTTCCTTTTCCTCCATTCAATTCATGCTTTTCTTCCCAGGCCCTGACCTGGCCTCTGCTCCTGGGCGGGGAAGCTATGGACCCCCTGTTCGCAGAGCCTCCGAGGCACGAATGAGCTCGGCTGGCCGGGATTCAGAGAGCCGGGACCACGGGCACGGTGGCCCTGCGGGTGACTCCAGCCAGAGCCCAGTAGGTGAGAGAGATGGGCAAATGCAGACCCAACCAGAAGGAGTGAGGAGGGAGGGGCTTTTTCATTTATTCGTTCGCTATTTACTGAGGATCTCTGTGTACTGTTCTGTTCTAGATGTTGGCTCTAGTCTATGGTAGAAGGATCCAGAAACAATTCTGACTGCTGACATGCATCATTTTGTTTATGTCCTGTTCTTGCTCTAGTGCCATATGCAAGAAAAACACACAAAGTTCTTGCCCTTCTCCCAAAAAACCACCTGGGGGAAAATGCCTTTTGGCTGTGAGCAAAACAAGGACCTGTCACTCTTAGATCCAACTAAGTTCTTTCTTCCCTTGGCAAGCAGCTGCTGGTATCTTAAAGATGGGGTGGATCAGTGTGGCCAGGATGTCACCTGTGGGCGCTATCATCAGCTGCCAGCTCTTCTGGTTCAATCCCAGTAGATTTATTTGGCAAGAATGCCCACTGGTGGGATTCCTTGATTCCTGGGCTTAGAGAAAAATGTCTGCTAGATGGGAGCTTTCTATCCCATAACCCCTTGTGTGAGTTATGAGGATGAGGCTAAGTCAGATGGACTGAATATTTGACTGAACCTCTTGCCTTTTCCTGAATTGTGGGTTTGTAGGTCTTAGCACCTCAGTCCCTTTTCTTCTTGCTGAGAAGGCTGGAGCACAGACCTTGTATTTAATCTGCTGTTCAGATCCCCTCATTCACTTAGGGTTCTGATGGATGGAGAAAGATGGGTTTCTCAGATCTGCAACATCATGGATTATTTAGTGGGTGTGCAGTATAGACAAGCTGTCATTCCAAGCTCTTCACACACACTGTCTCATTTAATCCATGCCACACCCTAAAATCTGTGTATGAGACTTTCATTCTGCCCATTCTACAGATGAAGAAACAGAGGCTCAGAAAGGTAACACACAGCCAATAATTGGCTACAATGGGAATGAAACCCGTAACTGTCCAACTCCAAAGCCAATGCTCTTAACTTCTACATTATTTTGCTTCCTGAGGAAAAGGACAGTCACACGACATCCATGAATAGGTTTTGAGTACCCTGTACCTCCAGAGTCAATTTCCTGTTCCCCTCATCCACAGGGCTTCCAGCATCTACCCGTCCCACCCAGGGCTGAGTTCCCAGAGCATGGACACGCTGCCCTAGTGTAACGCTTATCACGTCTAACATACGGCAGCCTGACTCCCTCTGCCTGGTCTGATATCAGGGACATGGTCCGCTCCATTAATTCATTATGCCTCCACATATTTATTGAGTGCCTTAATTTTAGCTCTTTTTCATTTCCTAGCCTATGATAAGATTCTTGATTGATTGTAGGCTGTAGGACAGAGTGGGCCTGTCCCACAGGGTTTCCTAAACTGCAATCTTCATAGGGGTGGGTCCCCAGGTCTTTTTCCCACGACGTGTGGCACAGCCTTGAACCACAGACCTTGCACATAGCCACTGAGTACTTAACCACCAGGGCTGCAGATGAGGCATAACCCATTGTTGTTTAGTCAATTTTCGACTCACAGTGACCCTATAGGACAGAGCAGAACTGCCCTTTAGGATTTTCTAGGCTGTAATCTTTGTAGGATCAGACTCAGTTTTTCCCTCCTGCAGAAGCACTAGGTTGGTCC